AACGGAGAGTTTTAAAAAATAGAGAAAAGACAAGACAAAGCTGAAAGTACCCCACAGTGCTCTTAGCTGACATGCATGGGTGGGGACCAGCGATTAGAGAAGGATGGACCCTTCTTGTCCTATGAAGGCCTGGAACCTTGGTCCTAAATGAAAAGCAGATGGCAGAGTGTGAGTTCTGATGGCACCATGGTCAGCTTAGTGCCTTTTGCACAGCCAGCAAAGAAAAGGAAGGTACAAGGCAAGAAAGACTCTGTGAAGCTGGGCCACTCCCTGAGCCACCAAGATAGGCATCTCCAAACTAGACTTTCCAGTCACGTAGCTGAGGAAGGAGACTGCCTGTTCTGCCACCTATGTTCACCGTCTCATTCCACAGGAACCTTCAGAAGAGCTGTCTCATCCTGCCCATGTGCTTGGTGCCTTCTTTCTGCTGGTTTTTTTTGAGACTGAGTTTTGCTTTTGTTAACCAGGCTGGAGTGCGATGGTGCGATCTCGGCTCACCACAACCTCCGCCTCCTGGGTTCAGGCAATTCTCCTGCCTCAGCCTCCTGAGTAGCTGGGATTACAGGCATGCGCCATCATGCCCAGCTAATTTTTTGTATCTTTAGTAGAGACGGGGTTTCACCATGTTGACCAGGATGATCTCGATCTCTTGATCTCATGATCCACCCGCCTCGGCCTCCCAAAGTGCTGGGATTACAGGCGTGAGCCACCGCACCTGGCCCTTTCTGCCGTTTTTAAGTTTACGGACAGCTACAACAATAACCCCTGTTCAAACCATAGAATCCTAGAATAAGGAACCTTATTTATAATCTACTCCTGTCCTTTTATTCACTTATTCATTTATTTAGAAATAATTTCTTTCTGAGACAGAGTCTTGCTCTGTCGCCAAGCTGGAGTGTAGTGGCGCGATCTCGGCTCACTGCAACCTCCGCCTCCCAGGTTCAAGCAATTCTTCTTCTTCAGCCTCCTGAGTAGCTGGCTGGGACTACAGGCGTGCATCACCACACGCAGCTAATTTTTGTAGTTTTAGTAGAGACGGGGTTTCACCATGTTGGCCATGATGCTCTCAATCTCTTGATCTCATGATCCACCTCCCTCAGTCTCCCTAGTTTAGAAATAGTTCCAAGCTTACAAAAAAATTTCTAGTATATTACAGAGAACCCCTAGAGATACTGGTTATCAGTTAGCATTTTGCCCCATTTACTTTGTCATTTTTTTTCTCTCTCTCTCCTTCCCCTCCACACATGTGTACGAATACACGTATTTGTCTCTGAACCATTTAGAAATTGTCAATATCAACTAATTCATTCCTTGTGCCCTAAATATTCGAGCACGTATTTCCTAGGAAGAAGGACATTCTCTTACGTAATCACAGTGTGGTTATCACTTGCAGGAAACGTAGCGGTCTACCTTCCGTGTTCCCATTTAGTCACTCAGTCCAATCGTGTGTTTCATAGCTCTTCCCCTCATGAGTGGGGATGCAGCTCCATATCATGTATTGCATTTCATTGTCGTTCGTCTGGAACAGCTCCTTACCTCTTCTTTGTCTTTCATGTTGCTGTCATTGTTGAAACATTTAGATGCCATGTTTATTTTTCAGATGAAGAGTTAAGGTACTTCCAGAATCACATAGTTGGTTATGGAAGAATCATATTTGAAACACAGAACAGATATGTTTCAAGTTAAATTTAAAACTAGTTGGAGAGCTTGTCTCCCAAATGAAAACAAAAAAAATGTTTTAACAAGTAACTGTCACAGCATTCTTTCTAATATAATGAGCAGTTGGGAAGAATTTGAATGTCTTCCAATAAAGGATTAGTTAAATTATGATATATCTATGAAATGGATTTCTGTGAAGCCATTACATATGGTATAGGGGTTGGCAGGCTATGGCTCAAATGCAAAATTCAGCCTATTGCCTGGTTTTGTTGATAAGGTTTTCTTGGAACACAGCCACACACACTAATGTATATACTTTCTATACATGAATTCGTTTATGTAATGTTAGCTGTCAGGGCTGCTTTTGTACTGTAATGGCTGAATTGAGTAGTTGCAACAGAGAACAAATGGTCCAGATGCCTGAAATATTTATCATCTGTTCCTTTACAAACAAGTTTGCTGACTCTTGACATACAGCTATGTTCATTGATGTGGAAAGCTCTCTGTAAAATGTTATTGCATGAAAAAAGCAGGGTACAAATATCACACATAGGTAGTGATCACATCCTTAGGTAAAATCATGTGGTGTTAGGAGGGGCAACAAAAAAAGCGCCTTAAAGAATATTTTTGAGAGAGATATCCTGAATTATGTTCACCAAAATATTCTGGGCTACCTGTAAATTGTGAGACTTCAGGTGATTTTTTCCTTTACCTCTGCATATTTTTCTGTAATTCCTAAGTTTTTAAAAGCAATCGAGTTATTACATCTATTTATTTTTTTGAGATGGAATCTCACTGCATCACCCAGGCTGAAGTCCAGTGGTGCAATGTCAGCTCACTGCACACTCTGCCTCCCAGATTCAAGCAATTATCCTGCTTCAGTGACCTGAGTAGCTGGGATTACAGGCACCTGCCACCACACCTGGCTAATATTTGTATTTTTTAGTAAATATGGGGTTTCACCATGTTGGTCAGGCTGTTCTTGAACTGACCTCAGGTGATCCACCCACCTCAGCCTCCCAAAGTGCTGGGATCACAGGCATGAGCCACTGCACCTGGCCCCTGTTTTTCAAACAAAGAACTCGAACTGATAACTTACAAAAGAAGAAATACAGCTACTAAGCAGAACTTGGGGAACTGTAAAAGCCTTGTGAATAATGTAAATTAAAAGTGTTTTATCTTTTAAGTTAACAAATTTTGAAATGATTTCATACTAGTTCTGAGTTCAATTCAACTCTTCTTTCAGAAATTGCTCATGGCCTTATAAATAGTTGTAACGTTGGAAAATATTTGGCAATACTTTAGTATCTTTTAATATACACCTTGAATTTTTGTAACTTTAATGTACACCTTGAAACAGTAATCTTACATTTAGAAATACACACTTTTACAGAAATAATTTTAGTTTATGAAATACTATATGTGCCAAGTTGTCTAAATAGCATAAAATGTCTTTGGTTTAAAGCTAAATGTAATTGAACATAAAATCTCACAAGTGCTATGTTTACTGCAGTGGCAAAAATATAGAACAATGTGAAGTACAAACAAGGGTACAGAACAACTGACATTCTCATGCTTTGCTGGTGGGAATATAAAGCAACCACTCTGGAAAATAGTTTTTCAGTTTTTTATAAAGTTAAGCATATATTTACCATATGGCACACAATTCTACCCCTATATGCTTACCCTTGAAAAATCAAAATTTCTGTTCACATATAAGTATCTACATGAATATTTATAGCAGTTCTATTCATAATAGCCAAAAGCTGGAAACAACCCAAATGCTCTTCAGGGGATGAAAAGACAAACTGTGGTGCAGCTGTAAAGTGGAGTGCCACTCAGTAATAAGGAGGAGCATGCTATTGATAACCGTGACAACTGAACGAACCTTAAAAGCACTATGCTGTGTGAAAGAAGGTGGCCTTAAAAGCTCACATGCTGTATGATTCCATTTATGTCCTTGGGAAGACAGACCAAAGGATAGAGAACAAAGTGTTTGCCAAGTGTTAGGGATGAAGGGGAGGGTGTGGGCAATAAAGGGATAGCATCAGGGAATTTTTGGCATGACACTGTAATAGTGTTTGAACAAACCTATAGGCATATTAAATTCATTCAGTGATACACCAAAAAAACAGTAAATTTTATTGCATGTTAATAAAAAAATTTTTTTAATTACATAGGAAAATACTAGAAGAGAATGCATGAAAATGACAATATTGTTTGTTTAAGGTGATGGAGTTATGGACAATTTTATTTTTTTGTTTCCCCAATGTTACATGAAAAATTATTTCTATAAGTAATATAATTATAAACAAACCTATTGCAGGGCTCTAAATTTATAGTACTATGTAGGTTTAAGAAATGAACAAATAGCCCTTGATATGGCAATAATATCTTGTGTGTGTGTGTGTGTGTGTGTGTGTGTGTGTGTGTGTGTGTGTGTAGTCCTGCTCTGTCACCCAGGCTGAATGAAGTCCAGTGGCACAATCTTGGCTCACTGCAACTTCTGCATCCCAGGTTCAAATGATTCTCATATCTCAGCCTCCCTAGTACCTGGGATTACAGGTGCAAGCCACCACACCCAGTTCATTTTTGTATTTCTAGAAGAGACAGGATTTGACCACGTTGGCCAGGCTGGTTTCAAACTCCTGACCTCAAGTGATCTATTCGCCTCAGCCTCCCAAAGTGCTGGGATTACAGGGATGAGCCACCACGCCTGGCCCATATCACAATAATATCTGAAGACAATGTGCATCTCAGGTCATCAGGGGCAGTTCAAATTGTGTCCAGGAGTCTGTTTATGAAATTAATAAAGCATGTAGTTTACTTTAGGAAGCAGAAATGGAAGTAATCATGGAATTTTTGCTTTGTTAAAGCTTCTTTTATTTGGAACATTTATTTTTGTAGTGTTCTATATTCATCTTTGATGCCAAATAGATGAGATTGTGTTTTAAGGCAATAATGACCTTGTATAAACGTGCATTATCTTATTTGTTCTTCGACATCCTCTAACCCCATCACTGAAAGATAAAAATGGTTAGTGCATGATCTTGGTTGAAAAGAGGAAACCGAGGTTCAGAAACATTCTAGTTTAAACACTGGGTAATAAAAATGCTGTTTTCTTTAACTTTTATTCAGGAAGACAGATTGTACTTTTTTTTGTCGCTTGCCAGTAATGATATTTAAGATAATATGATTGTATCTTTTCTTTCAATAATTTCCTAGGCATTATTAGAAACGAAATAAATGAATGGCTTAGGAGAAAAAGTGTATGTTTTGTTATTGAACATTCATAAGTGCTTTGGTTGTAATGAAAGCCTCTCATCTGTTTGGTGTTTCAGGATTTTATATTGCACGCTGATCATACCTATGTATTACCTCGAGCCTTTCTTCTCCTACATCTTCCTCAACCTACAGCTCATCATCTTGCAGGTCCTTCACCTTTACTGGGGTTATTACATCTTGAAGATGCTCAACAGATGTATATTCATGAAGGTAAGGACTGTCCAAATATTATTGCTCTTAGTGAGTGCATGTCATTGCCAGGTTAATGGTGCGGCCCAGACTGTTGAATGGTCAAGCGAATTCATAGTTTTAAACAGAATTCTTTTTTCTTGATTTGATTAAAATTTTGGAAAAATAGAGCTAGATTTTTCATAAGTAGGTCTTTAAGGTGCTTTGAAGAAACTGCTTTTATTAGAAAATAGATTATTTTCACATTTTTTAAATGTCAAAAATTCAAAAATTCAAAAAATTGGTTGCTGTTTGTTTTTATGCTTGAAGAAAAATTTTAAACTTTTGTTTATTGATATGAAATATATGTGCATATGTATATGATATTTTGTACATGCATAGAATGTGTAGTCAGGGCATTGTGGTGTTCATTGTCTTGAGTATTTATCATCTCTAAGTGCTGGGAACATTTCAAGTCCTCTCTTCCGGCAATTTTGAAATACACAGTGTATTGTTTTAACTACAGATACCTGCTACCAAACATTAGAACTTGTTCCTTTTAACTAACTTTAAGTTTTTACCTATTACCCAACCTCTGTTCGTCTTCTCCCCAACCCAACCAACACACCCTTCCACCTGGATGGAGTCTATCCTTCTACTCTTTGATATATTGATTTCTTTTCCTTTGGATAAATATCCAGTAGTGAGATTGCTGGGTCATATGGTAATTCTACATTTAGTTTTTGAGAAATCTGCATACTGTTTTCCATAAGATTGTACTGACTTATGTTCCCACGGTGTATCTCTTCTTTTCATTCTCACCAGCATCTATCAATCACTTTCTGTCTTTTTAATAATAACAGTTTTAACTGGGGTGAGGTGATATCTCAATGTGGTTTTGACTTGCATATTTCCCTGATAATTAGTGACGTTGAGCATTTTTTCATATAACTTCTGGCCATTGTGTGTTTTTTCTTCAGAAATATTTATTCATGTCCTTTGCCCCTTTTTAATATAATTATTATTATTATTATTTGTTGTTGTTGTTGTTCTTGTTTTACTGGTGAGCTCTTTGAGTTTCCGGTATAGTCTGGATGTTAGTCCATTATGAGATGAATAATTTGCAAATATTTTTTCCCATTCAACAGGCTCTCTCCTCAGTATGTTGATTGTTTCCTTTGCTGAGCAGAAGCTTCTTAGTTTAATATAGTCCCATTTGTCTATTTTTGTTTTTGTTGCCTGTGCTTTTGAGGTCTTAGCCATTGAATCTTTGCCTAGACCAGTGCTCTGAAGTATTTCCCTGAGGTACTTTCCTTGTGTATTCTTTAAGTAGGTTTATGTTTTGCGGTCTTATGTTTAAATCTGTCATCTATCTTGCGTTGACTTTTGTATATGATGAGACATAGAGGTCTAGTTTCAAGCTTCTGTATTTGGATATACAATTTTCCCCACACCATTTATTGAAGAAAGTGTCCTTTTCCCCAATGTATGCATTTTCTTTATTTCTTTGAAAAATGACATTGGTATCTTTTTATTTTTTTTTTGACAGTGTCTTGCTCTGTCTTCAAGGCTAGAGTGCAGTGGCATGATTATGACTCACTGCTGCCTCAATCTCCCAGGATCAAACAGTCCTCCCACTTTAGCTTCTCGAGGTAGCTGGGACTACAGGCACATACCACCACACTTCGCTAATTTTTAAGAATTTTTGTAGCAATGGGGTCTTTATGTTTTCCAGGCTGGTCTCAAACTCCTGGGCTCAAGCGATCCTCTTGCCTCAGCCTCACAAAGTGCTGGAATTACAGGTGTGAGCTGCTATGCCTTGCCAACATTGCTATCTTGATAGGGATTGGATTGAATCTGTAGATTGCTTTGAGCAGTCTGGTTATTTTAATGATATTAATTTTTCTAATCCATGAGAATGGGCTGTCTTTTGTTTGTGTCCCTTCAATTCTTAAAAATCAGTGTTTTGTAGTTTTCCTTGTAGAAGTCTTTTACCTCCTTGGTTAAATATATTCCTAGGTATTTTTGTAGTTATTGTAAATGGGATTGCCTTATTGAATTCTTTTTTGGCTAGTGTGTTGTTCATATGTAGACGCACTTTTTTATGTTGAATTTGTATTATGTAACTTTACTGAATTTATTTATTAGATCTAAGGCTTTTTTGGTGAAGTCTTTAGGTGTTTCTAGATATAAGATCATGCCATCTGCAAAGAGGGACAATTTTACATCCTCTTTTCTAATTTGGGTGCCTTTTATCTCTGTCTGTTGCATGAGTGCTCTTTGACATCTCGTACTGTGTTGAACAGGATTAGCAAAGTGAACATCTTTGTCTTGTTCTAGTTTTTTGTTGTTGTTGTTGTTTTCTTGAGACGGAGTTTTGCTCTTGTTACCCAGGCTGGAGTGCAATGGCGCGATCTCGGCTCACTGCAACCTCCGCCTCCTGGGTTCAGGCAATTCTCCTGCCTCAGCCTCCCCAGTAGCTGGGATTACAGACATGTGCCACCATACCCAGCTAATTTTCTGTATTTTTAGTAGAGATGGGGTTTCACCATGTTGACCAGGATGGTGTTGATCTGTTGACCTCGTATTCCACCCCCCTCGGCCTCCCAAAGTGCTAGGATTACAGGCTTGAGCCACCGCGCCCGGCCTTGTTCTAGTTTTTAACACAATTTACGATGATGTTAGTTACGAATTTGTCATATATGCCCTTCATTATGTTCAGGTATGTTCCTTCTATGACTCGTTTATTGAGAGTTTTTATCATAAAAGGATGCTGAATTTTACGAAGTGGTTTTTCTGTGTATGTTGAGATGGTCATGTAGGTTTTGTTCTACATTCTGTCGATGTAATGTATCACATTTATTTATTTGTTTATACTGAACCAAGCTTGCATCCCTGGGGTGAATCCCACTTGGTCATGGTACATTATCTTTTTGAGGTAATGTTAGATTTGTCTTGCTAGTATTTTGTTGAGAATTTTTATGTCTATATTCATCAGGGATATTGGGCTGTAGTGTTTTTATGTTGTTGGGTCCTTATGTTGGACAGGGTAACCTGTCCTCAGACACTTGTAAATGGATGTTGACTCTACTACAAGGCATTGGGGTCACTGCCAGTGGCTTGCACCTTGGCCCTGGTTGTGGCATCCAGCAGTGCGGCCCATAGGTATGTGTGATGGCTCTGCTGCTGGGGATATCAGGGCCACTGTCAATGGTTCATGCTTCAGCCCTGGTGGCAATGGCCAGCCACAGCAGTGCCCACACACGGGGGATGTCAGTGGGGATCCAGGAATGTGAAGATGCAGGGACTGCCGTGCTTCAGTGCAGGCTGCAGTTTGGTGGAGGCTAGGCTCTCAAAACGGCACTATGCTGTAGCTGCTTAGGACTCAGCAGGTGTGTGGGACCTAGTGTGCACTCCTTCTATGGAGCAATGCTTTCGAGTCAACTCTAGGCAGCTCTCTCTGTTAGTCTTATGGCCCATGAGAGTTGAGGGGCTCTCCTGTGGCTAGGATTGCAGGAGTCCATGATGGGCATGGGGACCACTGGGATCTCTTTCTTACCCTTTTCCACACTGGGGAGTGTCTCCAGGTTCCCAGATGAGCAGACAGTCTTGGCTTCGCTTTCCTTTTTGGCCTTAAGTGTTTCCTGTCGCTTCTCTGTTGAATTGTATTATTCTCTTAGAGGATCTGTTCAAAGTGTGATTATCTACTCACTCTTTGGTTCCTCTGTGGAGGAACACACTATACTTCGTTTCTGAAAACGTCTTCTCTAAATAATAACAAATTGATTAGACTATTGATTAGAACTTTTAGACTATTGAAGGTTTTTTGTTTGTGTTGTTTTGAATTAGATTCTGTGCTTTAATTCCAAGACACAGTGAGGGAAAGAGAACAGAGATGAATAAGATAATCCCTGACTTTAGGGAAACAGCCCACCACCTACTGGGGGAATGTTCACCTATTGGCAACTAACCATAGCTTACAGAATGTCCTGTGTTACAGACAGGCTCCAGAGACTTGCTATGGAAGAAAAGATAAAAAGAGAAATTAACTCAAAGGAACAGGAAAGGTTTCATTGAGTCATGGAGTTTGAATTGAACCTTTAAAGTAGGTAAAAACAATCACATTCCTGCTATCTTGAAATAATGCATCTAAGTGTTGATGAAAACAGTCAATTCTGGAAAATATTTGAACAGATTTATCCTGAGCCAAACATGAGTGACCAGTGGCCCATGGCACAGCCCCAGGAGATCCTGAGAACATATGCCCATGGTGGTCAGGCTACAACTTCGTTTTAGACATTTCAGGGAGATAGAAGTCATCAGTCAATACATGTAAGATGTACATTGCTTTGGTCTTTAAAGGCAAGACAACTGAAAGTGGGGGTCACAGGCTGACTCAAAGATTTTTCTGATTGGCAATTGGTTGAAAGAGTTATTAGATAACTCTTTAGATAAGAGCTGAATCAATAGAAAGGAATGTCTGGATTAAGATAAGGAGTTGTGGAGACCAAGGTTTCATCATGCAGATGAAGCCTCCAGGTAGCTGACTTCAGTGCTGATATATTTTGGAGTAAAATACTTCAATTTCTTTCAGGGGCTGCTATCTATCATGTGATGCTATGCTAGAGTCAGGCTGGAAGTTGGTATCTTACTGCTACAAAAGTTAGTCTTGAGATCTCTGTTTTAATGTTACTGACGGCCAGCTGTGCCTGGATTGCAAAGGAAGGAGGATGCATAATGAGGTGTGTCTGACTCTCACTTTCTGGTCCCTTGAGTTATATTCTCCTTTTATCTTTTCTTCTATAGCGAGTCTCTGGGGCCTGTATGTAACACAGGACATTCTGTATGTTATAGTTAGTTGCCAGCTGCCTGATGGACCCCCTTTCAGCCAAGGGCATTTCTTTTAGAATTTTAGTTTTGGATTACATAAGGGAGTTTGAATTAAGAGTCTTTCAAGTTGAAAGTTAGAGCTGGCTCACTTTTAGGTGTTACCACCCATGTATAATACAGCAGTGTATCATCAGATTGAGTGATTTGTGTGT